CGCTTGGCATGATTTGTTTACTTTTGAACTTTGGTAAAAGTCGAACATTTCCGCTACTTTGAGCTCAATTTCAAGGTACTTTTCATTGTGAAACCAATCAAAATCATCTCAATTTCTGTAATATGTCTTCCATTCTATAAAATGAGACCAGGAAAACTAGAATACAACCATAAATACCATACAAAAATACACTGCAAAGTCGCTGTTTTAATCCAAAAACAAGGTCAAAGATTTTTTTTTCTCTCATTACACACTGTGTGCTGCAGGATTTTTTTTATACTGCGTACACTGACCACATACCACCATTCTTTCATATGAAGGCCTACCAGCTTTCTCTCGCTAGATTTGAAGGTGCTAGAATTTAGGTGTTCTAGTACATCAATAACCCTGGTGCGTAAGCCGTACTAGTACGTCGAAAACCCTGAAAGGGTTAAGCATCAACTGGGCAGTCTTTCCAGTCTACACATTAATATCTTTGATCCCACTGGAAGCTTTTACTTCTTGATGGAAACATTTTCTCTATACAGTTATGTCTTAACCCTTTCAGGGTCCGTCCTGTAGATCTACGGCTTCACGTTGAGTGTTCAAACCGTAGATCTATGCCAAAATTCTAGCGCCGTCAAATTTAGCGCAAAAGCGCTCATAGGCCTACGTGTGAGAGAACGGGTCTGCGTGGTGGGTGTGTGCCATAAACAAAAAATCTAGGCGCCCGCATAGCATTGTGCGAACGCCGGCTCAGTTACCCTTGTTCACCATGCCTCGTCGCAAGTCAGCTCTCACTCCCCGGAAAATTGGGACTCTCCTCTTCCTATCTGATAGTTCTGACACTGATGGAAGTGGAAATGAAGACGAATTCTACGGCTTTGATCAGTTAGTGACCGAAAGGAATGACCAGGATATCGATAATAGTGCAGAAAACCCTGACGATCCTCAACCTTCTACCTCTGGTGTGGGCACTCGTGACTCACGGTCGGTTGTGCCTCAACGCAAGAGAAAACTAATATTTTCACGTGGCCAGGCCTCTGACTTCAGTAATGATGATGATAGTGACGTGGATTGTGATTTTATTGCGCTCGACGATCATTCGAGTAGTGATAGTGAGGAATCACATTCACCAGTGAAGCGTCGGTATGTTCGCCACCGCATGCGCTCGGGTAGTGTACCCTATGCTGTGCCCAGGGGACGGAGTACATCCCGTGGCCCTACACCAGTTTTAGGTAGTGATAGTGAGGATGATGTGGCTACACTTGGCATGGGTAGACCACAGGCATCAGTGGATGGTGGTAGTGGTGATGGTAGTGGCACCGCCATGCGTGACTCACCAGCCCAGGCTGGGACCCACGCTGCTGACTCCTCAGTTCAAGGACAAAGCGGAGCGTCAGCCACCAGCCCACCACAACCACAACCACCCTCACAACCAGCCTATGATGTCCAGTATCCACCAGCAAACCGTATGTGGGATTGGCAGCAAAATCCCAATTTTGTTCCCAAGCCTCACCACTTTGATGACTCTCAAAGTGGAATTCTACTTACTTGTCCCCTTGGAACCACAGCCAATGAACTGGAATTCTTTGAATTATACTTTGACCAGCCACTGATGGAAACTATTGTCAGGGAAAGTAATAAGTATTTTGAGTACACCATGGCAAATATGATCATATCACCACAGTCAAGACTACACAGGTGGAAAGAGACGACTGTTGCAGAAATGTATTTGCTTTCTGCAACAATAATGCTTATGCCTCATGTCTATAAGCATAATATAAAGCATACTGGTCCACAGATCGGCTAATTTCTACCCCGGTCTTCAGTGAAATCATCCCAGTGAACAGGTTTATCTTACTCTTACGTATGTTGCACTTCTCTGACAAAACCAGGCCTGACAGAAGTGACAGGTTATATAAGATTAGAAATGTTTTCATGTATCTCAAACAAAAGTTCAGCATATACTTTTATGCACTCAAGAATGTTGTAATTGACGAGTCTTTGATTTTGTTCAAAGGTAGACTGTCATTCAAGCAGTATATACCGAGCAAGAGGAAACGCTTTGGTATAAAACTGTTTGTACTCTGTGACTGTGACAGTGGCCTGGTGTTGGATATTGTTGTATACACGGGAAGTAAAACATTGAAAGATACCAGATGGCACCTTATCTTGGTAAGGGGCATACATTATATACTGATAACTGGTACACAAGCCCTTTACTCAGTGATTTCATGCGAGTGAACAAGACAGATGTATGTGGCACAGTGCGTTCTAATCATAAACATATGCCCAGGCTCAACGCAGGTGCTCATGGTGATGACGTGCAGGTGTTTACTGCCAATGACATCATGGCATTACGGTGGCATGACAAACGAGATGTCACATTGTTGACAACCATTCACCGTAATGAAATGCAAGACAGTGGCAAATTTGATCGAGTGACTAATGAACGTATTCGAAAACCAGTGACAGTGATTGATTATACACAAAACATGCGCTTGGTTGACAAATGTGACATGCAGATTGGTTTTGTTGACTGTGTTCGTAAGAGTTACAAGTGGTACATGAAACTTTTCTTCCATCTCATGGACATTTCAATGCTCAATGCATATAATATGTACCAAATAAAGACTGGCAACAGACCACCATATGGTGAATTTTGTTTGTCTGTTGTCAGACAACTCATAATGAAGTACCAGGTAAGAACACCTGCTATACAACAAGGTCCTCGAATTACTCAGGATATACCCAAGCGTTTGAGGAGGGAAGGAGATCATTTCATAATACAGCTTCCTTCAACTCAGAAGAAATTTGCTCAGAAGAGATGCATCGTCTGTGCACAAACAAAACGAAAACAACAAAGACGCAAAGACACTCGGTTTATGTGTGAGGAATGTAAGGTGCCTCTGTGCATGGTGCCTTGTTTCAAGGAGTTCCACAAGCTCCAGCAGTTTTAAAACCATGTCCAGTGATTGTAAATATATGATAGAACATTAGTATTATACAATATTTGTGCATGTTTATTGTAATAAACAAAAGTGGTAAACAATAATATGATAATAACTTTAGTGCGGTTATTGTGTTCAATACAGTGAGTTTATATATATACATTATATACAGTATTGGTCTCTCAGGCCCCAAATGTTAGTAGGAAAAGAAAAAAATTGGAAAAGAAAAGAAAAAACTATAAAAACTGCTAAATAATGTAATGCGTGTATGTGGAATTCGTAGATGTTGCCGCCACCACATCATTTTGGACAAACTTCTTGGCACTGTATCTCGGTAAGTACTGATCAGAAAATTTTTTTTTTGTCTTATTACCTTCACAAAAATATGCTCTTTAATTCTGTAAGAAAAAATATTATTTTTTTTTTTTTTCAAGATTTCTTGGACACTGGAGCACCACTTCAGATTTTGGCCTTGGACCCTGAAGGGGTTAAACTAGTCTCCCAGCTTCCAAAAATTACCCTTGTTATGTTTACAGTAAGCATCATAAATATGCATGCATAAGTACACTTTCAGTAGATTATTTGCTGACAGATTCAATTACTGCTAGGACAACTTGTGTGTGCAAGATGGTGCCCCCTGCCATACTATAAAATAAATAAAGAACTGGCTGCATGATTGTGAAATTTCATTCTTTAATGGCTGGCCTGATAACTCACAAGACAAATCCAATAAAGAACAAGAGGAACCAAACTAAGCATAAGGTTTGTTGAATGTGTCCTCTATCCCCAAACTCTCAAGTGCCATTAAGCAGGTGTGGGAGGGTACTGACCCTTCTATCCTCCATATTTTAACTTTATCAGTGCTAAAGAGATGTAAATTCAAATTCAAATTCAAAGTTTATTCTCTATAAAGATTACAATGTTGAATTTACAGAATTTGGTTGTTGTGTGGTTTACATGTAGTTAAATAATGATTACAGAGTGTACCACTAGAACGCCTAGCATGGCTAGGCATTTCGGGCAAACTTAGTTTAATTCTTGATTTTAAAATATTACAAATTATGAGGTAAGTTGGTATTATGGCTAAGTGACTAAATACTAGTTTGTGAGTTTAGCAATGTGAATGCTTTTGTTTTGGCACAGTACATAGTTTCAGTATTGGAGTATCATAGGATTCATTATTTTAAGATTGAGATTAATATTTCTGTTTATGGTCAAATGGTGAGTGAGTGTAAGTGTGAACCACCAGGTGGTATTCGTGTAGTTAGTTGATGGGATGTATCAGGGAGGTAAGATGTTTTCTAATGGTAGTTTTGAATGTGATGAATGTGTCTGCAGTTCTAGAGTTCTCAGGTAGGGTGTTCCAGATTTTAGGGCCTTTGACATACATTGAATTTTTGTAAAGGTTTAGTCGGACATGGGGAATGTCGTAGAGATGTTTGTGTCTGGTGTTATGCCTGTGGGTTCTGTCACAACTATCAAGAAAGCGTTTTAGGTCAAGGTTGATATTGGAGTTTAAGGTCCTGTAGATGTAGATTGCACAGTAGTAAGTGTGGATGTACTGAACAGGGAGTAAGTTTAGATCTATGAAGAGTGGGGGGAAGGGGGGGGGTGTTGCCAGGGATGGGATTTAGTAAGGAGTGCATCAAGAGGAAGGGCAATCCTGGTAAATACAAAGTGCATAATCAATACATATTTCAATATTTTATTGTTAAAATAATATTTTAAGGTAAGAGGTCCCATTACCAGTGTGATTAGTTTATGTGCATGTATATTTATGATGCCAACTGAATATTCACCTTCAACTATTTCCTCTTGTAAACAAAACCAAATTCTTCATAGTTTTTCTGCTCTTTCAGCTATCAAACAGTGTCATTAGCATATAACAACATTCCCATATTTCATTATATTTAACTATTTCTCTAATTTCAATCCTCTACACAACATATCAGTCAGGACCTTCCAAACTATTCAATTATTAGATGTTTAGTAAACTGTACAAATCAGACAGTTTACTAACATGCCAAGTATTCAAAAGTTAAAGACTAGAAATGATAAAGCACTTACTTTGGTCTGTGCACCAGACTTGCGATAAAGGCCTTCAGTGTAGAGTCCATACATTTCAATGCACGTAATGAGACGATCTATCACTGGTGGTATTTTATCACCTGGTCGTACTAAATTTTCTAATGGAACACCAAGAACACGATTTCTAATTGGAGGTGTTCCAGTATCAACAACAATAGGCTTAGGACCATCATGACTACACTTTGAGTCAGCTCTCTTGTAACACTTCTGGTGGCATGTAACTTTACATCCTAGTGGGAAAAAACAAAATTATTTAAGTGGCAAAGTCATTTGTTGTTTTACAACTATTTTACATGTACACTATATATATTTTTTTAGGAAGAAAATCTTTTCTCTTTCTTTAACAAAGAATTAACCCTTCAACTGTCTAAATGTAGATTTACATTTTTACTGCCAGCGCTCTGAATGTTTTGGAAAAAAAAAAAAAAACTCCTTAACCCTTTCAGGGTCCGTCCCATAGATCTACCGTTTTGAAGCCAGGGTCCAAACCATAGATCTTCGCCATCAGCTCAGCTCACTCAAATAACCTGTGAGCGGTAAATCTGGGCCTAGATATAAGAGAACACACCGTAGTACTAAGTGTGCACCACATAAAACAAATCCTGCAGCACACAGTGCATAATTAGAGAAAACAACTGCAACCGTAATTTTGGATTAACCCTTTGACTGTTTCAGGCCCCTTTCTGAAACTGTCATTCTATGTCGCTCAATTTTTGAAAAAAAAACAAACAAATATTTTTCTTATGAAATGATAGAGAATCTTTTCCCGATGGTAATGACACCAAAAGTTCGAAAGTTGGTCGAAAACTCATGGAATTATGCTCCCGCGAAGTTAGCGGTCTCGGCGACATATGCGTATCGGCGATTTCGCCGACTTTGAGCCCTATTTTCAGCCAATTCCATTGTTCCAGTTGACCAAACTCATAGCTATTTCTTTAGAACTCCAGTTTATCTATCAGCTGAGTACAAGAAACCTCCCATTTACTAATTTGGACTACCCAATATGGTGGTCAGAAATTGGCAATTTGGCCAATTTCACGCAAACTAAAAAAGATGCCAATTTCAAAATAGGGTCCAGAATAAACAAGGTAGACATTCGTGGCACTAAAATAACATATGCTCTGTTCATTAGTCACATCTCTAGGCCCCTCTTATATTATTATTGCTTTCTATTTTGATTTTTTATTCATACAAAAAAATACAAAATTTACCGTTATGCAGACTACTGCATTATTGCAAAAATGGTATAAATAATATCAGTGCACTAGGGAAAGAATATTAGACTCCCCAGTTGACGTGTATTGGACGTGTGGTGTGATTTATTTACTCCTGAACATTGGTAAAAATCGAACATTTCCACTACTTTGAGCTCAGTTTCAAGGTCGTTTTCATCGTCAAAGTAATGAAAATCATCTCTATTTCTGTAATATGTTTTCCATTTTATCACCTAAGACCATGAAAACGCGAATACAATGATAAATACTATACGAAAATACACCTCAAAGTCGGCGTTTTATTCCAAAAAAGCGATCAGTTTTTTTTTTCTCATTATGCAATGTGTGGTGCAGGATTTTTTTTATGTGGTGCACACTGACCACACAGACCCATTCTCTCACATGTGGGCCTACCAGCTTTCTCCCGCTTGATTTGAAGCCGCTAGAATTATTGAGTATATATACGTCAGAAACATTGGCTCGTAAGACGTATTTATACGTCGAAAACAGTCAAAGGGTTAAAACAGCGATTTTGCGGTGTTTTTTCGTATGTTTTTAACAGTTGTATTCGTGATTTCTTGGTCTCATTTGATAGAATGAAATAATATTACAGAAAAAGAGATGATTTTGATTGGTTTTAGTACTGAAAATGGCTTGAAACTGAGCTCAAAGTAGCGGAAATGTTCAATTTTTGCTGATGTTAAAGAGTAAACAAAAGTCGTCACGAATCTAATACGCATCAGCTGGTGGGTCTCATAAATGTTGAATGTGCCGATATTATTTATACAGTTATTAAAACATTGCACAACAGTAAATCTTCTATTTTTTGGTGTGAATAAAAATTCAATACAGTGGACCCCCGGTTTTAACGATATTTTTTCACTCCAGAAGTATGTTCAGGTGCCAGTACTGACCGAATTTGTTCCCATAAGGAATATTGTGAAGTAGATTAGTCCATTTCAGACCCCCAAACATACACGTACAAACGCACTTACATAATTACACTTACATAATTGGTCGCATTCGGAGGTAATCGTTATGCGGGGGTCCACTGTATGTGAATAAAAAATCAAAATGAATTAATTTGTAAAGCCTGAAAACATAACTAATGAACAGAGGAAATGTTAGTTTAGTGCCAGGAATGCCTGCATTGTTTATTCTGAGCCCTAGTTTGAAACTGAAATATTTTGAACTTTGTATTAAACTGGCCAAATTACCAATTTCCAATCACTTTATTGGATAGTTGAAACAGTTGACTAGGTGATTTATTGTGCTCAGTTGATAAAATAAAAGTAATACTAGTGAAATGGTTAAGAATTTGGTCGACTGGAATAATGTAATTGGCCTAAAATGGGGGTCAAAGTCGGTAAAATCGCTGATGCATATACTATATCGCTGATGCATCAAAATTCACGAGAGTGTAATTTCATCAATTTTCCATCAATTTCATACTTTTTGCCTTATTAACTTAAGAAAAAGATTCTCTTCCATTTCATAAATAAAAAATTTTTTTTTTTTTTTTTAAATCTTGGACCATGGCTGTCACTCTGAGATTTGGACTTCGGACCATGAAAGGGTTAAACTGTTTAAATGCAGATTTATGTTTTTACTGCCAGTACTCTGAATATTTTGGAAATAAAAAAAAAATTAAAGAGGGCAATTTTCTCTTGCAACCCCAAATCCTGAGGTGTCTCCTGGTGTCGCAAAATATTAGAAAAAAAAATTATTTTTTCTTATGAAATGATAGAGAATCTTTTCCCGATGGTAATGACACCAAAAGTACAAAATTTGATGGAAAACTTATAGAATTACACTCTTGCAAAGTTAGCGACCTCAGCGATATTTACGAATCAGTGATTTCACCCACTTTGAGCACTATTTTCGGCTAATTCCATTGTTCCAGTCGACCAAACTCATAACTATTTCTTTAGAACTCCATTTGTTCTATCAACTGAGTACAAGAAACTGTACATTTACCGATTTCAACTGCCCAATAAAGTGGTCAGAAATTGGCAATTTGGCCAATTTCATGCAAATTAAAAAATATGCTAATTTCAAAATAGGGTTCAGAATGAACACTGCAAACGTTCCTAGCTCTAAAATAACATTTTCTTTGTTCATCAGTCACGTCTCCAGGCACCTCTGATATTACTCTTGCTTTCTATTTTGAATTTTTATTAAAACAAAAAATAGAAGATTTACTGTTATGCAGACTACTGCAATATTGTAAGAATTGTATAAATAATATCAACCCATTCATGACTGCATATCAGAATGGCTAGTTGGACATTTATTGGACAATGACATCATTTGTTTACTCTTGAACATCGGCAAAAATCAAACATTTCTCCTAATTTGAGTTCCATTTCAAGGTCCTTTTCATAGTAAAACCAACCAAAATCACATCTATTTCTATAATATGTTTTCCATTCCATCAAATGTGACTACGAAAATGAGAATATAACCATAAAAACTATACGAAAATACACCTCAAATTCGGCATTTTAATCCAAAAACATGGTCGGAGTTTTTTTTTCTCATTATACATTGTGTGCTGCAGGATTTTTTTTTTATATGGTGCACACTGACCACACCGACCCATTCTCTCACATGTGGGCCTACCAGCTTTCTCCTGCTTGATTTGAAGCTGCTAGAATTTTTGAGTATATATACGTCAAACACAGTGGCTCATAAGACACACATATACTGTATGACCGAAACAGTCAAAGGGTTAAGACAAAAAAAAAAAAATTAGGATCAGTACTTACCGAGATATAAGACCACAAAGTTGGCACTGGGTGATCACCTGATGGCAACATGGAGTCCTGCCACTTGCAGAAGTGTTGCCGATATACCTTTTTTCCCATTTTAATTTTAATTTATGTAATTTTAATGTTCTGATAATTACAATTTATAATAGTTCTTGTGATTTCATAGCCAATCTTTGTACTAACACTAATATTAGGTAATGAAATAGTACTCAAATAGTTACAGGTGTACATTTTCACCTGCCTTGATCATTAACTATTGTCTAGAAATATATACAAAGTATTTTATAGGTCCCAACAATGGTGTAGACATGCTGGAGTATATATGAAAACTCCTTGAAGCATGGTGTAAGATAAGTGCAGCAGTGAAGTGACACTTGATGATCGAGCACTGCTGCAGGGAAACCTGGCTTTATTTGTTTTCACTGTTACACATAAACATGTCTGTCTGTCTGTCCAGTTTTGTCTGCTTCTCTGTCTTTCTGTCTGCCTGTGTCTCTCTGTCTTTCTGTCTGCCTGTGTGTCTGTCTTTCTGTCTGCCTGTGTGTGTGTCTGTTTTTGTCTGCCTGTGTCTCTCTGTCTTTCTGTGTCTCTCTGTCTTTGTCTGCTCATCTCTCTGTCTCAGAAAGCGGCTCATAAACCAACAGGTATTACACACAATGCAAAGTCGTCATGTCTGATTCCTGATCAAGTGAAAATGCATATTACTTGCCAGTCATGCTTATTATGCCTTATATCTACAAGCATAGTATAGCACTGTGTCTGGATTTTTTGGGTTATCCTAGGTAATTTGCATTACGTATGATAACTGTACTTATGTGTGCATGTGAGAGAGAGACAGAGATAGACAGAGACAGACAGAAATGTAGCCCGAGACAGAGATAGAAAGATACAGATAGAGAGACAGCCAAAGGCAGTCAGTCAGTCAAACAGCCAAAAACCCACCCACCCAGCCGGCCAGCCAGCCAGTGGGCCAGCCTGCCAAATACATATTACACATGTTCCAGAATTGTTTCTCTTTACTTAGAGCATAGGTTACAGGACATTCTGACAGGATGACACTACCAGTGGTATCAAAAATGAAAGTATGTTGCACAAATGTTGCGCATGGGTTATTATCGAGGTTTTTGATATTTCCTCGACCACTTATAGCCATATCCATCTCAAAGGCACTAAACTCTGGGTCAACATCGCTTTCCTCTTAAAAGGGAAGTGTAAGTACAACATGACATCAGTGAATCCTTGGTG